TTCTTTAGCCATTTTAAAAAGTCAAGGGATATTCTGAAGTTTGCGCATTAAAACACTGATTTCTGGAATTGTTTCGAGTTCAGAACTTTCCAGTAACTTCGCATAAATTGATTTTTCACTGAAACTGTATGTAGATCACTATCAATAATCTTTCCATTATAGCCACGTCTTGAACTCTTGCCTCGCACTGACGAATACTTCAGCTAGTTCCTATATAAAAGAAACAGAGTAAAAAGAAAGAACAAACTAATCAATAAATGAAAGAAAAAATGATATGCAGTAATAGCGACGGTAAAGTTTTTACAAAATATACCAAAAACTTGCTAAAAAAACTTGCTACAATTACATAAACATTCCAAGTTTTTTTCTCCTCACAGATTGAATTTTAGTTTTTGCATGATTTTTCTTAATGCTTTACGTTCTGTTTTTTTCTGTATTTTTTCTGTTTTTTCTTGTTTTTTTCTTTTACTCAGTTCTCTCATTCGTTCTTTCTTTACCCCTCCGTTTTTTTTTCTGTTCACTTTTTTAGCAAGTCTTCTGCCATGTCGCTTTCCTCTGTTCCCATACCTGTGACACAGGCCGTTATCGAACCACGTTTCATCTTTGCTTCCTGCCCAGCTCTCTGACGGTGCTTCGAATCGGATGATGTCTGCTGGGACCATACTGTGCTTCGTGATTTTGAAACCCAAATATCTCTAAGCTTAGTATTCCGTCCCCACCTTCTATGGTTTTATACGAAACCCAATACAACTGATCTCTTTAAAAAAATAACGAATGAAAATAAAGTGCTATAAGGAAAGTGTCGCGCATTACCCCCCAATCTTTCTTTCTCCCTTTCCCTTGTAAACATTTGTAATTGCACTTTTGCACACGCACACGTGCACATACATGGACAAATATTTTTCTTTCTTTCTCTCTCTCTCTCTACCTATATCTACCCTCATGCACTTGGAGCAAATGTTTTCTTTGCCGCCAGGGGTCGGGACTCTAGCTCTGTTTAAAACCAGGTAAAATGTCGAATATTTGAGGTTAGCATGCTCTCCTGAAAAAAACAAAAATACCCCCCACCAAAAAAAAACGCTTCATGGTCTTTCTGTAGAATTAGATTTTAGTCACACAAATTAATGAAATTAACCATACCTATCAGTTCAAATTTATATCAATGCTCATGTCTCAGCATCATTCTTATTCATATTTATCCTGTTTGTATATGCCAATCTGTACTCATCTATTCCTTTCAAATTGTACTATATATATATATATATATATATATATATATATATATATATAGATAGATTTAGTCGACTCTCCCGTCGAGATTCGACGTATGAGGGTCAAGCAGATCAGTTTCCAGGAAACCGACAGCCCGACACGGCACAAGAGATTTGATTATAGTGGTGAAGGCCTCGTGCAGGACCATCCACACTTTTTGAAGGGACGAATACAGAGACCTGGTGCACTAAGTGCCACAAGATTCCCAAACGACCCTCCGCAGGTTTTGAATTCAGAGTTGACCTTCTCCTAGACCATTTGCCATCCAAGGCTATAGAACCCAGTCAGTCCTGCTATTTTACCCATAGCTGGAAGGAGAGGAAGAGGATTCATACCTTTCCCAAGGGTATTAGCATGTAAGTGAATGTAATGGATTCGACTGGAATTCGAACTCGGCTCTGCGATTTCTCAATCCAAACCGCTATCCACCGTGCCCCCCCTCTCTCTCTCTGTCTCTCTCTCTCTCTCTCTATATATATATATATATATATATATATATGTGTGTGTGTGTGTACAAAAATGGATTGTGTGCATCAGAACACTCTGTCCAAACGAACTTAACCACAAATTAAACAACACAGATAGAATTAATATATAATCCCATAAATCAAGATCCACCCACATTTCTTATCCACACGAGACAGACATGCTTGTAGAGGTCTTGAGGTCTCACACAAATATATGCACATATACACATCATACACACTCCCACAATACTAAAAGATAATATACACTTAACACATACATCCCCTTCCCAGCAACCAATAAAACTGTCAAAATGACTAAGGAAGGAATTTTGAAACTCAGGAATCTCCCAGCCTCTGTTTAAAAAAAAATGGAATAGTCCATTTAACCAATATAAGGACTGACCAACATTAGCGATAAAAACAAAAGAAAATTACAGATGAAATTCACTTTCTCCAGAGACAGTCATTCACTCCTGTAGTTCACTTACAAGCGGGGATTTTTTCTCTTGATGATGGCCATGCTGGTCAAAACTAGTCGAGGAACCTAATTTAAATAATAAAACAAAAAATATTAATATAGAATCCAATGTGTCTGAAAATTTTAATTTTTTATTGTTCAAAACACAGACACGCACACACACACATATATGTATGTATGTATGTATACATATAATCAGCCTGTAAACCGTAGAATATGTTTCAGTCTATATATCGTGAATAATCGAATGACAAAATAGAAAATTATTTATTTTTAATGTGCTTTGTTCATGGAAGGGAACATTTCAGTCTAATAATGGTTTTATTGCTAGAGTTATTCTTATAAATTGTATATACCGTGTGATGAAAAACAAACAATACCGGTTACAATTTTACATCGAAAACAAAGAAACAGGGACCCTTAGCTTTGTTTTTCTTTCTAATTTTTCAAATCTATTCTATCTGCGTGCGTAATGCAACCGAAAAGAGATATATTGTAGAACCCTAGACGTAAATGTATCGTAGGTCATTAAGGTTATACATCAAGATATATTGAACGTCAAAAATTTAAAAAAGAATTGATTTAAAGGTAATTCTCCCTATGTGAAATTGTAACCAGAGTGTGTTGTATTTCTTTCCTCACACCACTATATATAGAAAAATGATTCAATTCAAAAAAAAAAAAAAAATTCTCAGAAGAAGTTCCTTGCTGACAAAATCTTGTATTTATTAAAAGGCAAATCAACATTATTCAGTCGACAATTTATTTTCCAAGGCTTCTTATGATCTTCCAAAAACATATTTGAAAATTCACTCATTCATCATAAAAGAACAATTCAGATTTTATTCGAAGTATTCTTGGAGGAATATTTTGATATTTTAACAGACACTGACCTTTAAGGTGGACTAAAAAATAGTCTGAAGGTACCGGTTTGGAAAATAGGCCACACGAGAAAAAAACATCGAATTTCAGTTCTATGATTGCTTGCTATGTTGCATTTTATATTGATGATAATGGTTATCATTCAATGACATCACCGACCATATTACATCCTTTTCGCCTTTTCGATGCCAATATATCATTCAAATACACGATTTGCTCACGTTATATTTCTCAAGTAACACATTATTCAAATTCCAGAAATACCCAGGACAGAGAAAAGATTCATTTTAAAGTTAAAAAGTTGAAGGATGTTCGGAATCTTTCCACAATTTTCTTCGTTTAGATTTCTCACAATGGATCCATTTTACATTGCGAGTGAATGCCTTGAGTGATCGTACAAGCAATGAAGACATGACTGTACTTTAAAGAGACTTTGAAAAATCAAGCCATGAAAATTTACACACGCATATATATATATATATATATATATATATATATATATGATTTGTACTGTGTTTTGTTGAATATCCTGTGAAGAGTGTTTGAGCTTAATGAATGAAAATTAACAAACACTACATATAGCCAAAAAAAGTATTCAGATTCACGCTTATTTCCACACAATAGTCCTTAGAACAATTCAAAACATAATCATTACCACACAAAATAGCCGTTAGAACAATACAATAAACTACTACCCACAATGCATCAGAGACCTGTGGATATATACATAATTAGTCGAGCAAAAACACAACGCATATGGCCTGACGATTGCGTATAACAGATTGTGACAAGTGAGTATTGATTTCAATGCTAATTTTTATATTTGAATTCGATCCTTCCCTGATACTGAGCACTATAATCCATAAATATAGCTTAACTTAAAACTATATTTTTTATATATATATATATATATATATATATATATATATATATATATATATATATATTGTGTATGCTGAAAAGTTTTTCAGGTTGATCTGCGTTTCAGAATATCACACACACACACACACACACACACACACACACACACACACACACACACATATATATATATATATATATATATATATATATATACCTGTGTCTCCGTTCCTTTCACGGCGTCATCGGGTATGGTGAAATATTTATTGACATTCCGACAAACAGTTGGAAAATAGGATAGAATAATCGATTCCTTTTGAAGAAGTGAGAAAAACTTTGAAAAAAATCACAAAAACATCAGAACCGTATCAGTCCGGAGATTGTTAAAAATAAATAATTAACCAAGCAGACACACGAAGAAGCAAACTAAAATCTAAAAAAAAAAAAAAAAACTAAACGAAAACAAACAATAATTTTCTTTTGGCTTCGCTTACCTCATTGTTTGTTAGCGTCATTGTTTGTCCTCTTTATCGTGTTTCAAATGTTTTCTCTGATTGTGTTATGTATTATCCGTCTTTTATTTTGTTGTCAGTGATTTAATTTGCATTTGAGGGGAAATAGGTTATTCACGGAACGACTCCTACTTCAGTCTTCAATTCTTTGTTTTTTTTTTTTTTTTATATCTCGTGTACCTGTTCAGAATTTCCTTACCCAATGCGGGTTATTTTTTTTTTTATTTTTAAAGTTTCTATTTTTTACCTTCTATTGAAATCAGTGTTTATTTGTAAGTTGCTTTTCTGCGAACAAGTGCAGCCTCCCACCTTCCACTCACACAAGCGCCACCCCCGCATCATTGCTTATTGAGCTTGTTGGCTTATTTAAAAAGAAATTACTTTGTTTGTATGTAAATCTTATTCCTTTGTTTCTCCATCGCTTTGACTCTGTCTTTGTCGCAGTTCCAGATTTATTGTTTGTTTTTTTATTTTTTCGGAGTGAGGAGAACATTTTTCGACAAGGTGTCACATCACAAATGTGCAACTATGCGAACACTGACTCTATATCAATATGTTAAACTATCTATCTATCTATCTATCTATCTATCTATCTATCTATCTATCTATCTATCTGATATACTCTCACATATAGATGAATGTATTGATATGCATACTGTACACAAAACGTACACTCACATTCAACATCCATCTATCAGCTCATTCACACATGCACACGCACACACGAATATATATATATATATATATATATATATATATATATATATATATATATATATATATATATATACATACACACACACACACACACACACACACACACACACACATATATATATATATATATATATATATATATATATATATGCAGTGCAATGGATAACTTGTCTAAATTACACAAAATGAAAATAACATTTTATGTGTGTGTGTGTAATCAGGTGTAATTACAAATATATTGAAGAACAAAATATTTTACATATCCTGCATATAAAATGTTCCTAAATCGATCTGGTCGTAACCTGTAATTAATTTTGCAGTCTATTTTTAGGCATTATTATAACATTTTATTTTTACTGTTTCTTTACTCTTCACACCATTTGTATGAATTCTCTACACTTTGTTATGTCTCTAATTTGTTTTCGTTCGTCAGATACTGGTTACTACATTAGAGCTGTACAAAACAGAAAACAAATTGTTGTAAAACATATAGGGTTACATACAAATACAAAATCCTGGGTGCTTCTAAACTTTCGGCCTTGTATCACCTCTGAGCTACACTTAGAAAATCACCATAGAAAACATTTTATTGTCGTTGGTGCTTGGTTAGGTAACGTCTGTTTCATCAACTGGGGCAGAGCTTGAGTTGTATTTTTCACAGATATGGCGAGATTTAAATTGTCTGATTTTTTTACTCATAAATTTCACTACATGGACAAAACAGGTCGTGTACCATCTGTTCAATCCTTGCAAATCTTTATAACATTCTTTATAACATTCGATCTCATATCTATAGAACTTTCCATAGCTTTACAAATTCTTTCTCTGTTCTTCAAAATCGTCGGCACAGTAGAGTGTGATCATTTCAGATTACGTTCGATCACATTGATCAATAGCCTTTTTTTTCCTTCTTGGCAGGTTGAGGAGTAGACAAGGCAATTTCCTCTTGCTGGACATCTTGGTTTTTTAAGAAACAATTCAGACACAAAGGTTCTCAAGGGGAAAGTGTGTTGTACTGAGGCTATCCTAACATAAGCGCGCGAGGGAAAGTTAGTGATGCCTGGAGCTAGGGTCGAAATTGTCGTACATCAAGCGTGGAAACGCTCACACTGCCAGACGCGAAGCAGTCGTAGTTAGAACAGTCGTAAGTTGAATTGATCCTAAGTCGACGACAACCTGTAATTTATAAATCTTAATCTTTCAAGGTAGCTACTTGTTCTTTATTTCTTCTTTGTTTTGAAATTGCAAACGTTCGATCATTTCTGTAGGCAATTAAAGGAGGTAAGAATGTCACGATTACTATTTCCAACCATTTCTGCAAATTAAAAACTGGATTCTAGTAAATACTGCCAATGGCGGAGTAAGAGAAAACTGTTATCTCTTGTAGTGCCTCAATTTTTGTCTAAGAAAATGTCTGTTCTAAAAGCTACAGAGAAATTCTGCTTCGGAATCTATTTTCTGTCACCATTTTTCTTTTTATAGTTTTTAATTTTATTTATTTATATGAAAATATTAATGAGACTTTCTGAAAATGTTATCTCTGCCCAAGCAGATAGATTTTTTGATACATCAAAGTTTACTCTCAGTGACCTTGGAGTTAATTAGTAAGTTTGTCATACTCTCGCTTTGTTATAGATAAATAGATCTTGTTCAATATAACACTAATCTGTAAATTTTCACATTTACTAATTCCGGATTTAACGCATTAATCCCCATCGTAAAATCCAGTATAAATTATGAAATTAAAGTAAAAATAAGTTTTTATACAGGTTTTTACAATGTCCGGTATTAATGTCCTTGTTCGGTCACTGATCGCATCAAATTAATGTCAACCACTGATCATACCCAATTAATGCTCTTATTAGACCACTGTTCACACCAAATTAATAGCCTTGTTCGACCACTGATTAAACCAAATCAATGACATTGTTCAACCACTGATCCCACCAGTTTAATGTCCTTGTTCGACCATTGATGGCATCAAATTAATGGCCTTGTTCAACCACTGATCCCACCTTGACATTCAACCTAGTGATCACATCAAATTTATGGCCTTATTCGACCACTGATCCCAGCAAATTAATAACCTTGTTTGATGGCCTATTACACTAAATTATTGGCCTTGTTCTAACATTGTTCACACCAAATTAATGTTCTTGTTCAACCACTAATTAAACCAAATTAAATACTTGCTGGAGCACTAATTACACCAAATTAATAGCCTTGTTTGATGACTGATCATATCAAATTGTGCTCTCTTTACAGAAACTGCAACTAGGAGCTGTACAGCAGAGTTGCGGCATAAAACAGAGATCGGCTATTCTATTCTTTAAATCTCTCTACTCTAGTAGACTCAATAATCTCCCATGAGTGATGGAGGCCTATTACTAATTACAACTTAATAATGATCACCGTCTCAGAAATCAATAGACCCTATCATATTCTGTCAAGAGTCAAAATATTTTCATTTAGAGCAAATATGCAAATAGTGTAGTGGAGAGCCGTACTGAGAGAAATTAGCAAGCTGTGTTAAAGTTTCGGGTGTGTTTCGTTCACTTTCGTACAAATGTTCTTGGGAAGACCTGAATTCGTCTCAACCCCCATCTATAGGTTAAACAACAGACTGGATTCTATAGCCTTGGTTGGAAACCAGTCCAGAAAAAGAACAAAACTGGCGTGCAGAGATATGGGCTCCGTCAGGTTACCTTACCCTAGACTATCACACCGCTGCAATACATTTTGGTGCACCTACGACGACGATGGGGCACTTGCGTTAGAGAAATCATATGGCATCCATGATAGAAGTTTTAAATCTAACAGGAAGAATCATAGCTAGAGAGGAAATTAGAAATGAATAAAAAACGAAAAAAAAAATCGAGATGTTAATTCAAAATGGGAAGGAATTCAGGATTACAAGAGGAGGAATATAACCTGGGAAATTATTTCATCTGACACAAGATTACATTAACACAATTTTTATCAAACGCTATATGGGAATATATCGGTGATCACTATCAATGGCTTGTGACTATAGCACACTAAGCAATGAAATAAACTAGGTACATCATAAACATTTCCCAATACTTTCAGTGTAATCATTTCTCATTCATTGCTCTTTGCTCTCCTCTTTACCTAAGAAGCCGACTGTCGACAACCTGCTCTCAGCGTACGACAAAGATATTACTTCATCACCGTCACCCTTTGTCGTTCCTGTTTTGTAATCGTTTCACTCCTCAGAAAGAATTGGCAATGATCTGAGAGCCCCAATTAAGTGACGCGCAAACAAGTGGTGCGCTGCGAAATGGTGGGTGATGGAAATGTTGACAGTTGTAAGGCTTTTGTCTCTCGTCAGGAAAAAAAAAAACAAACATCCCACACAAACACAGGTAGAATCGTTTGCTTGTCGTCACGAACAAAGCGGATGACAGGGCCGATGCACGTAATTGGGCATCAGATGAGGGTCTGACTTTGATGAATTGTTAGTTGGATAAGCTTGTTCAGCAAGAAAAAGAAAAGAAGGTGGAGAAGAATATGGAAGATTGGAAGAAGAAAAAGCAAATGGAGGAGAAAAATAAAAAGAAAGTATTAACAATAATAATAATAATAATAATAATAATAATAATAGAGGAGGAATAATCTATGTCAGATGTTCTGTCGGGGCATGTAATGTGAGTTTAACATTCTGCCTCATGATGTCGTGGAATATACAGTTGCGGACCAACAACAAGCGGCACCAGAATTAAACTATTTCGTGTGGTTCGTTTACTCTACCCGAAATAATGCTTATCTGATGCTTATTTTGAAAATAATTTTCTCCATGGCACGATGATTGTGTCACATGAATAAAAAGACTTCCCCGCGGAATGTTTATTTGAACCAGCACGCTTATTTTATAATTAGAAAAAAATCCCACCGGCGTGATTATTCCAAGCGGCATTTTATTTGACACAAATGAAAGAAAATTTAATAAATATCTAATAATAAAAATAAAAAAAAATAAAAAATTATTTGACACACTCTCTCTTCTCTGAACCGCTCTCTTATCGATGACCATTTTATAAGCATTTTTAGAAAGAATTCTACGTTCAAATTAAATGAAGCCGTCAATGATTTTATCAATTCATTAAAAGAAAAATAGAAATGGAATTGATGACCTGAGGACTTACGACAAGTAAAATCTACCGCTCGGATGTAAGAGCAAAATTATCCAAATCTTGTAACTACAAAATTTTCCAATTGTTAGATTATACTTTGAACTGTTGTATCTTAGAAATGAGGAAAGATATGTTACTGGAATTCTCCGAGGTATTTATAACACTTTTGTACCCTACCTTGAGCAATAAGAATGTATAATTACTCTCTAATCTTAACAGAAATATCGTGATGAAATCAATCATAAACGAAAATAACATGTTCATCATTAATTAAATATAGCTATGGATCGGAAGCTCATGAAAGATTGAATTAAAGTTCATATATATATATATATATATATATATATATATATATATATATATATATATTGCTGCCATATATGGTCTGGAGCCCCTTCTGTTTACCTCGGGGTTCTTGATAAGCTCCAGAGGCGGATATGCAAAATAATTGGCCCTGATCTGGCATCTCGTCTACAGTCGCTCTCTCATAGACGCGCCGTCGCCTCTCTCTGTCTTTTTTAGAAATACTTTCATGGTAATTGCTCCAGAGAGATGCATTCGCTCGTTCCCAGACCTCATGAATTCAACCGCACAACGAGACTGACATCCCGCTCTCCGCCTTTCACTGTCGAAACTACTAAATGTAGCCGTCTCTTCTACTCCAATAGATTCACATCTCACACTTCTCGCCTGTGGAACTCCCTTCCCTATTCCAGTTTCCCTGACAGCTATAATCTCCAACTATTCAAGTGTAATGTCAATCGACATCTCCAGTTGCCTTGATGTATCCACTATCCTTCTCTATCACTCCTATCTGATCTTGCTCCAAATCTTCTGTAACCCCTTGCGTCCTAGTGGCTTCCCGCCTTGCTTGGGGTGAAACGTATATATATATATATATATATATATATATATATATATATATATATTATTCCAGGATCATTTTTCGACTTATTGTCGGTGATCTTCACCCTTTAACCTTCTAATATTCTGTCCTGGAATAACACGGTGCCTCACATGATTCACGTAAGATTTCATTTTCAAGTTTTTTTTTCACTGCTCTTTGCACTGTTAGAGCTGAAACTCCTCTCTCACGTGCCAAATGTCTTGAATAAGTTGAATCTTTTCACATTGATCACTTTAGCTCCAAGTTGAAATGATGATCCCTCTTATTCACCGTTCTCTTAATAGTTCTTGGAACTTTCTAGATGGAAGCCAGATTATAAATGTTGGTACAATTACTGAAGACCTGAATGATATTTTCCTCCTACCATTTATAATTTCGGAAGACAGTGGCGCCGACACAAAACGATCTCAAACTGTTTCTCTCTTTCTTCTGCTCTTAAAAAAGGTCCTAGTCAATCTTGCGTTGTGATCGGTGCATTGTCCTATTGGAAATCTGATTTTCACCGCATATCCGATTCCCTTTGGGAGCGATTGGCAAAGACGATTAACATAACCTTGCGCATTCATGCACCCCTCAACCACGTGCAAACACGTCTTTCCTGTAGCAGATGTTGCACCCTATTCTATTACACCCCCCAGCACTTATTATAATAGAAAATGATTCTGGAATACTACTCCATCCAAGACATCAAGGGTGAATTTTATGTCATCATATAACAATACGGACTTCCATTTCTGGACCCAGCATTGGCAATCTTTAGCGAAGGTTAGTCATCGCCGAGGTCTTTGAATTTGCTTCTATCTAGCCATGCCCTTTTTATGCAGACGTTGTCTAATTATTATTGAGCGAGAGAGCAACATTGCAACAAAGTGATATTGGGGAACAAATATACAAAGCCATATATACATATGATACGAAGTCTAATAAGGGTATACCAGTCAGATGTTTCTCAGCCGAATGTGCACAATGTGCTGATGGGTATTGATAAAAGAAGTGCCTAACTTTGCCGACGAGGTTCAGTTAGAAATACTGTCAAGTCGGGTAACCAAGTCTCCTTAGATGGTTTTTAATTGAAGGTTCTTCTTCTCCTTCACTTTTTTCTCTCTTTTCCTTCTCTTTTCTTTATTCTTCCTTTTTCTTTTTTTTATTTCTTTTTCTTTTCATTCTCTTTCTTCCTTTTTCTTTTTCCTTCTTTCACTTTTCTTCTCTTTTTTCGCCCTTCTCTTTTTCTTCTTTTTTACTTCTCTTTTCTTTACCTTTTTTTATCCTTCCGTTTTCTTTTACCTTCCGTTTTCTTTTTCTGTTTTTTATTCATTTTTTTTTATTCTCTTTTCTTCCTTTTTCGTTTTCTTTTCCTTCCTTCTTTTCCCTCTATTCTCTTTTCTTTATCCTTCCTTCTTTCTTTTTTATTCATTTTTCTTTTATTCTTTTTATTCCTTTTTCTTTTATTTTTCTTCTACTTTTCTTCTTTTTTCTTTCTTCTTTTTTCCGTTTTTCTTTTTCTGTTTTTCTTTTTTATTATTCTTTTTTCTTTTATTCATTTTCTTTACCTTCCTTCTCTTTTACTTCTCTTTTTCTTTTTCTTCTTTTTTTCACTTCTTTTTCTTCTTTTTCTTTGTAAGTAATCGCTTCTGAATACAATTGTCTGCTTGGTAGACGTCGGCTCAGACACATTTGTGCTTCTTCAACAGTCGCAGACAAGCAGTGGTTTATATTACAATTATGCTGAACGGACCTCAGTTAGAGTTTCTAGGAGAGAGGGACTAATCCGACATGAACAGTAATTGAACAACGCCAATGCGCCCAAACCCATGGTCACATGGCAACATAATCATCATTGCCCAAAAAAAAGTTTCGTCGACCCAATTTCACAGGCCTGGTTCATTGATCTCATTGAGTATCCACAACAACGTTAAAACGACGCAGTCATACTTACCTCATTGTCATGATTACTATCTGTACACACAGAGTTTTCACACTATCGGTAATAAGTGGCTCACTTTGGAGATGAAGTAGCAGGTGGTCTCTATTCTAGAGGACGATATTATCCAACCAAATTTTATGAAAAGTGTCGTCTGCATAGTTTCACATGTTCCGTGAATTTTCAATCCTTCTAATGTTTTTTAAAAGGCCGTTCAAGACAGTTCCAAAATGCCACTAATGTTGGATATAATTGTGACTTTAGATAAGTATTCACTTTCTTAATTTTCTTTTAGTTTTACTCTATCATATATATATATATATATATATATATATATAAATAAAAGTGAAGTCAACACTCAGAGGCCACAGGCTGATTCATGCGAGACGCAATCGTTAGGCCGCCTGTCGCCTCTAAATGTTAACTTCAATGTTCAGTTTTATATTTACATACGCTCTATCTCTGATATTGAGCACTTTTTCCCCATAAATATAGCACATCTTGAAACTATATATATATATATATATATATGCAAGTAAATTTTTCGTACCATACCATAATAATAAAATCTTAAAATAGGGATCATAATATAATATTTAATGATTAAATCGATTACAATAAATATAAGCTTGATTAAAATCGGTCAAAATAAAACCTAAAACGCCTTTCGTCCGACGCTTTGTCAGAAGAGAATAAATAGGCGGAATTAAATTACTGGATTTCTTTAAATATGATCTTCAAAACACGAGATGGGGAGAAAGGAAAAAAGAAACATAAAAGGTTATGCAAAATGAGTCAATGATTCTCCAAAAAATTCCAATTGGAGTTTAAGTTCTCTCTGTCTCTCGCTGTCTGTCTGTCTGTCTCTCTATATATTTACATAACAGAAAATTCAGAAATGTTTCCTTTTTACGAGAACTAAGTCGAGTTTTCTGAGCTGAATTTAAAGATTCTCTTTGATTGTAAAATTTCAGACAATTGTCAGTATAGTTTGCAAAAATCCCTGTGGATAACCCTTTGCTCTCCTGTTAGTCCTAATTTCAATACTCCATCAAAGTCTTCTTACTGCATTCCATATAACACGGCATTTATTATTATTTTTGTGCTTCACCTGGCTTTAATGTATTTTTTCACTTATAGAATATTTCTCCTAGGCCCTTAATAGGTATTACAATACTCTCTTGAATTATCGTCTTCATAACCATATCTTTTTTTAATCGGTATCATCCCATGCAAGGCAACAAAGCCACTAAGACACAAGGGGCTGCAGGGTGTGGAAGAATTAGGAACAAAAACATTAATAATGAGTGGATAGAGAAAAGAGTAAATCAGGATGACAGTAGATAGCAATTGGCATTGTATTTAGATTTTTGCAGATTAAAGTTCGCTGGAAAGCATGGAGCCGAGCCGGAAGTGAGTTCCACAAGCAAGAAGTGCGAGAAAAGAACATGTTAGCACAGAACCTACTGGTATATCTAGGTAGCTCAACTGTAAATTGATGAGATCTCCCGCCAGTCTTAAATTAGCGCTTAAAAAACCAAAAAAAAAAAGGAACCATAGCGAAAAGCTCATCTGAATTATTACCATGGAAGTAATTATAGAAAAGAGACAGAGAGGCAATTTTATAGCGCTAGGAAACTGACTGAAGCCGAGCCGCCAGATCACCAATAATTCTGCTGATTAATTCTTTGGATTTTATCAAAGAGCTCAAGTTAATTGCGGGGGAACCGGACCATATATGACAGCAATATTCTAATCATGGTAGACTTACAGATATGTAAGATAGATTCCGGTTAGAAAAATTGTCTTGCACGACACAGTGAACTGATCTGTATCGACTCTACTGCAGTCCCTTTAATTTGTCTCATGAAATGTCCGTGAGGACGCTTTTATTTTCATTTTCAGCGTGTCGTTTTGGAGTTTTCTGATCGTTTATGCAACCCACTTGTCATTGTAGGAGTTGAAGCAATTTTATTGTTCTCATTCTATGCGTTTTCTTCTCTAGTTTCTGTTTTTATTAGAAAAACTGAAAACAGATTCTCTTTTGTTTTTATTAAATTTCTTTAACATCATTAACTCAATAAACAAAACTAAGCAGCGAGATATAAAAGCAAAAAATGCCTCCTTACAAAAAAAAAAAATAAATAAATAAATAAATGAAAAAAAATAAACAACAAAATGTGTTTTTTCTACGAAGAACCTTTTTCTTTAGACGAATCTACTTCAATGTCTCCTTCTATATTTTATCGTTAAGCTTTATAATCCCCTTTTCATCCTTTTTTACTCGGTTCTATTTTCAATTTCATTGTTTCGCACGCCAAAAAGTGTCATCCTTATTTGCTCTTTCGTTTTGATTATTTGCCGCCATTCAATGATTGTTTGCTTGTCTTATTTCTGCCTCATCCTCGCAAAAATTGATGAAAGAAGCTTTAAAAATTCTGGCTAATTAATTACTGCCTTTTCCGTCGGGGTGTTTTTTTTAATTGTAAACTTTTTAAATACATGGGTATACAAAATATATATCTCTTCGTCTGTAGACACACACACACACACACACACACACACACACACACACACACACACACATATATATATATATATATATATATATATATATATATATATATATACACAATATATTTATTCTTTATATGAATGGATGTAGGTTTGCATGCATCCATGTTACTTACATTGTTCACATTAGTATGGACCAAACGACGCTCGCTTTAACAGTTTATCTATATAGCTGTATCTATCCATGTCTTCCATTCTTTTGTTATCTATCTATCTATTTATCTATCTGCAGGACTTTATCAATTTTTCAGTTTTGATCTATTGAACTAACTTTTCACTTCTGTTGTATCTTTGTATGTATGTGCATATTTATCGAATTAGCTATAATTGTCTTTCTTATACATTTTATGTATTTATTTTTGGCTTAGAACTCTCTCTCTCTCTATCTCACTCTCTCTCTCTCTATCTCTATCTCACTCTCTCTCTTTCTCTCTCTCTCTATATATATATATATATATATATACATATATACGAATATATATATATATATATATATATATATATACATACATATATATATATATATATATATATATATATATATATATATATATATATATATATATATATATATATATATATATGTATATACAGTGCAATGGATAACTTGTCTAAATTGCACAAAATAAAAATAACATTGACATCTCATTTTAAACCATATATTTACCAAAATTATACAAAAATATCTAGAAATACTAAAGAGTAAATTTATTCAATAAAATTGCCATTGGCTTCAACCACTCTCTCCAGATATCTTCGGAATCTTCTGCAACTCTTCTGGTCGGTCTCCTTGTTAAAGTTGTTGAATACTACTATAGTCTTTGCCTTCATTTCTTATTTGATATTAATCTATTAATTGCTAACAATACAATTAATAGATTATCATCTAATGGCAACATCTTCAATGAAAATAAATTAACTTATAATGAAGACCTCAAAAAAGTAATTTCAGACAAGAATTAAGTTACCAGGAAACTTTGAAAAACAATCCATAAAACGAAAAACAGAAAAAGAATTCAGTATTAATACTTGCAAATATTTTTTAAAATTTAATAGACACACATTTCAATCAACAATCATTTAAGAAAAATTTTTAATAATTTAAAAAAAAAAAATTAATACGAAATCTCTAAAAATTAGTTACTCCTGTAATAGTAAATATAAAGAGTTTAATTAATTTATACAGTGAGCTTTTATGAAAGAAATTTTATGACAGTGAAGCACAAGAATTGTAATTGTAAAACCGGGGCTACCTGCACATTTGGAGGTATTTCTACTTCTGAAAATATAGTAAACAAAGGGATGTGGGGCCAAAGTCGGGACCACAGAAGTAAAACACGGAACACGAATTAGATTTAAGAAAGGTATATTAACAACAGGTTACAGAGATAGTGTAAGCGGAGCTTACTATATGTTAGTGTCCAATACTGGTAGTCGTACGCGGCTCTCACTGTCTCTCTGTCTCTCTCTAGAGTGTTGTGTCGCATACTTAATATAGACCTGGAAGAATCTATTGTGTAGGTTGTTCCGGTCTCACAATACAAAGCTACAAATTTTCTGAAGGAAAATATCAGTCAGAAGAAGGTATACATAGGGATATCAGCTGGAAGTTGGAAGCAGAGATTTTACAATCACCGACATTCCTTCACCAATGCGTCTTTACGATATCAAACGGCTCTCTCTAAATATTACTGTAATCTTAAAGATGGAGGCTTCACCCCACAAATAAAATGGCGGATCATTTGTCGGTCGCAGACTCCCAACAACTCCAGGGAGAAATGTGTGTATAGGTCTGTATATGGGTTTATGTGTGGATGTGCGTATGTGTATATGTATGTACGTATGTGTATGTAGATATACTTGTGCATATATGTACATGTGTCTGAGTGTATATATATATATGTATATGTGTGTGTGTTTGTGTGTGTGTGCGTATGTAAGTGTGCAAATATATATATATATATATATATATATATATATATATATCTTTGTATTTTTCAGTTTTCAGTCACTTAAAATTGTCCTTTACCAATCTCTTTATTAATTTTATTAAAGAATTTCATTTTTTAAATTGATGTTATTTCTTTATATTATTGCCTAATATTTTAATAATATTATCATTATTA